TCGAATTCGAGGAATGGTGAAGTATGTAAAAGACAAATGAAGGAAGATAGTGTATTTGATGTGTGATGTCCATAGTTTATGAAAGCGCTGTCTAGTTATGTATAGATCGATAAATTGATTTATCCCCGCCGCGTTTTCATTCACTACAATATAACGTTATGAGGTGTGGTGAATAACCAATACACCTACTACACCGTTAAATATTTTGTGTTGTGTTCAAACTTATCAATAACGGTACAGTTCAATCTCGTGCTGTGTAATTCGAATTCGAGTTCTTGATTGTGTTTTGTTGAAATTCTAGACTAGTTGAGAATAATTCTATTTTGTGACATTATTCTAAATATACATAAGGTCAAGTGAGAAGTGATAAATACAAGTGTTGATCTGTTGCTTCGAGTAAGCCAATCAACAAACCAGCTATTTTCATTGGTCACACTTATTGGTTCACACATACATGTTTGTAAATATAGGTCAGATGTGTATCATGTGATCCAGGTTTCACGTTCCCTTTGAATTCTTGACTCATTACTCAGGCGAAGTGATTAGGAAAGCTCTATGAGACGTGCTTTGTAAGTGAATCTGACTGAAGGATATAATGCGGATTCACTAGGTAATTGTTCATCTTTCCATCATACAATTACATCGACAATCGAAAAAATTAATATATGTCGTTATTCAATACTGACATCAGTCCACGATGAGCAAGTTTTGATGGTCGTATATTTGACTCCAATTAGATCGTGTGCTGATTGTTGATGAAATATACATTCCAACTACCCTCTTTCATAATCATCAACTTAAATGGCGTAAGTGAATCACGGCATTCAATAAGTCAAATATGTGGGTGGATTTCGGATATGCTTATTTTGTATAGTCGTTGATCAGAACAGACAATAAGAGATACAGAGCGAAGGAAATGAAAGGAAATAACGCGCAATGGAGAAGGAGAGTGAGACAACTCAAATTAATCACGAGTGTTTTAATATTTATAACCAAACAAAAACAGGCTACGTCAGGAAATAGAAATAGATATGAAAATTATGAATAACAACTGTAAAGAGCCGTCAAGGATTGCTCAGGACAGGGTTGGATGAAGAGTGCTGTTTGGCGGCCTATGCGCCTCAACTAGGAGAAACGGGCATAAGTAAGTAAGTAAGTAAAAATAGGTTACAGACGTGTGACAAGTAAGATAAAGGATTGACACGCTGTCATATAAAAACAGTTAAAGTTGATGAGCGAATAATTAACAAGGTCAAACAATGACTTCAGAAGAATGATCAAATAGGTTTGTTTTGAAACTAGAATAACCTATGTGAGATTGACATAGAACAAGTCACTACAACGTCATAAGAACTCATACCTGATGTTTCAGTTTTCTTTCTCTCTGTCAATCGAATTTAGTGATTCTTCAAGTTAGAGTAATGGACATGGTTTTACTGTTTTCTTTATTTTTAAATTAGTGTAAATAAGTTTCTCTCACTTCTGTTTAGCCAGGTGTAAAATAAACATTTCCTTATGTTTTTGAAAGTATTCTATTATGTTCTAGACATTGATATCAGTGCAGCATTTGATTATCAATTTAAATGACTACAGATTGGAGGTGACTAATGTTACTTCTATGGAATTTCACTAGAGACACGTCCACTTAGTTTACAATGCTGGAGTGTTCCTATCATCTCAAGGTATAGATAGCACAATACACGAAACAACTTTAAACATCATGACAAAAGTCATTTCGAATGATAAGCTTTTGACTTGTCGGTCTTTCACCTGATGTTAGTGTGAAGATAATGTGAATATTCACTATCGTTCTTGAATGATGAGTTATATTGAACTTAAGTTAGGCGAGGAATGAAATGCTGAAGTGGCAGTGGTTTCGCAATTCATGTATTAGATAAGTAACAGTCGAATACTTTATTGTTACTTGTGTTTTACAACAAATAGCTGATTCTCTACTCTAATTCTTTCATATATGGAATGAAAACTGGAAATAACTATTTAGGGAGTGGCAGACAATTCACGAAGTGTTGACAATTTAAATCAAGACTCTTCGTTTACTAACATTTGATTGAGATGATCAAATGCTTTTCACACATTTTAAATAGTAAGAATTCTACTAAAAGTTGTTCCTATAAGGCATATCATTTTAGTGGATGTCATAAAAGTCAACTACTGGTTGTCCATATCAGTATTTTAATTATGGTATGAGAAATTAGGATTAGAGTTTACAGTTAGATGTTAGGGTTCAAAATGAGAGTAAAGGTTTTCATCATAAACTGCCATCAACTGCGCTGCCAAAATGCTGATAACCATTTGGTTGAATGAATTTCGCGCCAAAATACAACACGTGCTAGGCTTCGCTTCATTAGTTCGTTCAAAAATTATAGTCTCACCACTTCACAAACACAAGAATATCATCTTCACAGAAGACACTATAGTTTGTTATAGTTTGTTGCTATTTCTGTATATTAGGCGAGATCTTAAATTTGTGTGTGAATGATGTTCTATAATGATCTGAACTAATACTCATCATCTTATTTACAATATTGTAATTCATTTTACATTGCTTTACGTGTTCATGATAATATTTACTCTGCATGTCCATGTGAAAACAAATAAACTTGTGTAAATTGCCGATTACAATTTCTATAAAGTATACGATGATGTTTGTATTCTAGATACGCTTGTCTGAAACAAGATCAACTATGTATTACAGGTGAGAAAATCAAAGAAATGAGTCTAGAATTTCATCTTTGATGACTGACTTCTCACATTTATCCAATCAATGATAATTGTTGGTTGAATGTTATGTAAATTTAGTCACAATGTAAATAGAAAACAATTAGAATTAGATACTATTTTATGATAGAAAATTCTTATTGTTTGCATTGATATGATCATTATGTACACTGAATCAACCAAGTTAACTACTTTTTACTTCTATTTCTCCATATTATTCCATACTTATTTCAATCATATCGTTTGAGCGAATTTCTATGTGGATTGATGGTCGGTTCTGTAGTGATATATTTACATACTAACGATACATAACACCTTCGATCTGATTGATTTCATCAATGTTATTTCATTACTGTTCTCGCTATACTGTCTTCAATTTGATGAGCAATCAGTGGATTGAAACGAATGTGTTCATTGTGATTGATATTCTCATTTCGAAATGTTCCTAAATCCATATAGTGATATTCGAGATATTTCCTCTTCGCATATGGAGGAACGATTCAATATCTGACTACATTTTGATTTAGTTCAGATGGTTTAATGAAGTAAAAAGCACATTCATTATTGTAAAAGGTGATCATGCACAAATATTTTCGGTTTACTTAATGACGTGATGACAAACCGCATGCACAAATACATAGTTCTGTAGGTCTTCAACATTTAACTCAAACTCATTAGTCTCACTGAATATAGTGTAGATGAAGGCAATCGGTCACTCATATGCATCAGGTCATGAGTGTGTATGCTGTGCTACACATGCCACGCAATTAATAAGGCGAGTGCTACTTATGTCGGCAGATATAATTAGTATATAACACCAATAGTAAGCGGAAAATCTGGAATCAGAAGGCTAAGAGGATCGAGTTGGAGAGAATAGAAATGGAAATAGAAAGAAATTGTGGATTAGAAGAATCACATAGAATGTGAAGTACACATGATGAAGATTTTCAAATGAAGAGTTCAGTTTATGGTCCTTATATTTTATCAAGATATTCTGTTGTTTTCACTCGGGTGTACATTCAATACACTCGACACATTCACAACCGCTAGAATATATATACTCGGACTCATTCATTGATGATTTTTAAGTTCGACTGGATTGATATCCTTCGATTATGAAATTGTTACGAGCGAAGGTGTTGTCGTATGCCAAATATCTGTGGTATATTTAATAACGTAGTTGTGACGGTAAAGGTGTTTACAATCTACTAAATGTAGATACTAGCCAACAGATATTCATAGACTACGTGGAGAGGATTGAAACGATTTCGATAAGATTATTAGGGCATTTGGAAGTTGGTACAGTCAGTTTGATGCGTTCAAAATGACAAGATGACGAAAGAAGTCAAGTCAATTAACTTCTATGGGATGGGTTAAGTGAGCTTTGAGTAATATAATTTCGAGCAAATAGATTCCTCATTCTATCTTAATTTATCTAAACAGTATTTGGCTATGAAACTGGACGAGCTGAGCTCATTCATATCAATGTGAACAGTTATAGAAATATATTTGAATGGAAAGCGTTAGAATGCTTATCAACGTGAACTCAGGGAAATTAAGAGGACTGCTAGAATAGTGGAAGTAAGATGACTCAGAAGACTATGGATGTGATGAATATATCGTATCCGTTCACTCGCTGAAACAGATACTAAACATGAGTGTTCGGATACTGAGTGACAAGTGAAATTTCATATTTACACACTTATGATTTGACTAGGATCGATCGCTTCTTTTGAAAGTTTGTACTTATTATTTTCTCGGAATTTATTACAGATGCATTCTGAGAAGGCGATACACTTTGAAATGTATGTTGAAGTATAAATGTAATTAGTGCAAACATGAGGGAGAAATAGTTGCTACAGAAGCAAAACTGTCATGAAATTCAACGGTTGACAACTATAAAACATGTATGTTATTGCTCGACCATTGTATCTCACATTTGTTAATATGTAGATTTTGTAAACATTGGTTAATTTAGCTAATCCGGTAAGATGACACTGTTCTCATACACTACTTTCCCATGTACACTGATTTGAATGATCAACACTATTGTGTTTAGATTGTAAGCAGATGATGAGAGGAAAGATCTGAGAAATATAATGAATCCATTGTTATTCTACTACGTCTATTGTTCTTGTTTTAAATGCATTCACTTTATTGGTTAATTGATTGGTCACATTCGAATGTGAGTGAGAAGTAGACACTTGATTTTGTTCCTAGAAATGTTAATGATTGGTGGTGACTGTACACATGTTAGTCATACTAATGTGGATCATCACGTCGGTTTTTGGCGCGTGTATTTTACGAATTTACTGAACGTGTTTTTACAAAGTTAACTGATTAGAGAATAATAAATAATCATGAATATGATTAATTTTCTGTTGAGTATAGTGTTCATCTTGCCAATATTTTTCCTTAATGGAGTGAATGGTGAGTCTTGTAACATTCAGACTATAAATTTGTATGAATAATTATGTTCCTGATTATGAGGTGTTATCAGTGATAACCGAATTCCATCATGTTGTGTAATGCCTGATGTGAACAAGTAAAATGATCCAATGAGTATAGATGTTTACATTGATTTAGTTACAAGAGTTTCTTGTTAGTTAAATCAATACAATTCGTATTAGACTTGTGAAATTTGTCAATAATGAGATGTTAATGAGTTGGAAGTAGGGAATACGTAATTGAAGAAGATAAAACTGACCGTTTGTATTATATTAGTTGAAGGTATATGATGAGAGTGTGATTGTATTTCTCGTTCTGCAACTCCTTAGTTCACAGAGATTTCAGTGAAGGAATAGGAAATTGTTTAGTTTTGATTGTCATCAATATAACTGTTTATTGCAATGATGAAACAATGAGTAAAAAACAATTTGAATGTTATTTAATCTTCACTGTGTAGTTATTTTAAAACTGAGTAAACAAAGACGTCATGTTGACAGATTGAATATTTTGATCTGACCAGAGTAATATTGGTGATCTGTCAAGTCTATGAAGAGTAGTTGTCGGTTGGCATTGGTGTGTAAGGATGTGAAGTCATTTGAATGACGTTCAGTACACATTAATCTCACTGTAGGTTTTACAGATTATGAAAACATGTCATTGAAGTATCGAGTACTATAACACTAGACATACACAAAATGTGATTAAATATATGGTATAGAATGAAATTGCAACGTAAGCGTAATACACATGTTTGTAAATGTTGATTAGCGAGTGAAACTAACCTTGTGAAACAGTTCTGTGACAGAAGGAAGCGTTTATCTACATGTCATGTATGAACATCTGGCAGATCACTGTTATGTTCTCATAATGTTGTGTTTCGAAATACTCAGGCTATCTTGAAAAGCGTCAACAACAAGTTCTCAATTTTAAATAGATCTTTTTCACTACCATTAAACCATTGATAAAAATCATATAGTCGCAGTGTGTTCGATTTAATGGGTTTAATTGAGTTATGTATGTTAAACCTACTGGATCGAACACAACGTGACTATATGATTTACCCAAAGTTCACAAGACAGGTCATCCTGTTCGCTCAGTTTTAGATATGTTTAATTCACTATATTGATAAAAAAGGCAAATGCTGAATGTGTGATCTGTTTCAAAATCCACAGCATAACAATACACAGAAATATGAACAGTGTATATTGTTTTCAATGAATTCTACTAGTGTCCCTACAGTATTATCTACATACATATTGATTGACCAATATTGAGTATAGTCAACATCGACAGTTCTCTTTGATTTCAGCTGATAAAAGTAAGTTCATAAGAGTGATTATTTATTTTTCATGAATGGAACTGTGAACAATGAATGGAAATAAGAGTGAGAATGTTGATCATTGAAACTACTCATTGGATTTTTACGAATCTGATAAATTGAGCTGTTTTTGCAAATGTATTTTATTTCACAGTTTAATAATCAATGATATTCATAACAGTCTATGTGGTATTTTATTTGGCAATCACTTTTAAATTATCAGAATATGGGGTTTTGTGGAGATTTAAGTAATTCAATAGTTAAATGAAGCATGACCACCATGTAAATGTTGGAAGCAGTGTTTGACCACCATTCCGTCCTAGTATAGGATCCCTCAACAGTGCTCATGCACGGTTACGCTCGTGAGACTCGAATCCAGGAACTATGGTTTCGGGTGCAATCTTCCAGTGCTTCCATGTTTATCATGGTTATCCAGTTTCAATCGACTCACGAATCTAACTGTTAATAGACATTTGAATTCTTACATTTTATATGAAGCTGTAAAACCACAGTAACAGAATTCTATTATCATCGGTATATTCAGTAATGCAATTGTACTGTAAATATCAGTGGCACTCATTGATTCTGACTATTAATTGGTCTAGCTGAACGTCCTATGAACAAGTAACAATTGGCTTTAATCACAATGTAACAGACACAATGAAATACTCGATTACTAGTGATCATTCAAGAAGAATCTATAGAAGTTTGTTGTAATGGTTGTAATGGTAGCAGTTCAACGAAATCTGAAGAGTGTGCGAACAGAATCATTGATTGGAGGAGACATGTGAAGTATTCTCGAACAATCCTGATGTACAAACTGAAAGTGTACATTGGTTAAGATTTTTAAGATACTTTCAGTAATATGTAACAGGATTACTACAGTATTTTTGTGTTATACAGATGAAATATAAAGCTATCAATGGTAGGATAAATGTAGAGTTACACGAAGGACTTCTTGTGTTAACGTCTTTTGAGTAGTATTAAATATGGGCAAACTATTTTAATAGTTCAAACACCTTGGTTGTGTTGTATCGAGTTTTAGTTAGTTACTTTTGTTTTTGAAGTGATTAGATTCAGTTTTTCAAGAACAAACAGCATTCTTGAAAATAACTAGTTAAGAGCACTTATCAGCATATTATCCCACTATAACCACATATGATTAAATTACCATCTTGTATGATCATACAACATGTGTAATGAATAATGTTGCTTTTGTCATTGAATTTACTGAGCTAATGAATCAATGAATGAATGTTCTTCCATAAAGTGGAATTTAAACTATAACACACATAACAGTTTGATTAAGCATATGGTCAATTTATTGTTGAAGGAGTCTTTGATCTCGTGTAAGTAAACCCACAGTTTCACTTGGTTTTATTTATGTTTTATATATATTTTTTATGATTAATTAACTCATTACCCCACCTTTCAATTTTGTCCATAACCATTGAATGAATTTCCGTTTATATGGTACTGTGAAGATGATTGAATTTCATCGTCTACAGTGCGGGTTAGTCTTTTGACAACCTAATAATTCTATAAGGAATAATGAAGGAAGAAACGACGAATGAACCATAAATACAAGTACTCTGTTTGACTTCGCATATCTTACTTCGGCTGAGTGTGGGAGGAGTTGAATGAAGTGATTTCTGACATTTATGTAATCAGACAGACAGTAAAGTGTGAAGCGATGATGACGATCGAGCCTAATCAATATATTACGGATTACAAGCGTTAATATAACTCATAGGAGATAATTCGTATTTAGCCAACTAAACAAGAATTGATTAAACTAACTAGTGTACAAACATATAAACAAGCATAAATGAGCTGCAAAAGTGTCGAATTACGAAAGTATGGATATAATTGTTATATTTACTGTCGATCACAATTTCTTATGAAGAGAATCGATGTATTAGAAAAGTGGAAATGATCGGATTGTTACATGCTATCTTAGCTATTAAAATCTGTCTAAATGCTAAGATGAAACATGCCAGTGTATGCTAGTACCTCATGTTAAAACCTTAGTTGGTCAACTACTGAGAACCAGGAACTACTTGGCAGCTTCTTTGTTTTAGTATGTGACTCTTACGTAGTGGTCAAGCAACGTCGTAAATTAATTGAAGTTAGAAACTTAAACCATTAGGAATCCTTTCAGTAGTCCATAAGTTAAGCGCTTTTTGTTGGACGTGAATGTATTGAGTAGGTTCTTTGATGAAGTCCGCCTTGATGGTGTGTTACATACTATGACGAAACGGCTGTCTAGTAAATCCTTGTTTCCAATGTGTGCCTAACTAAGATCAGTTTGTACTATGAAATGTGGGATTATCATTTTTCGTTGGACAGAAACGTTTAGTTGTATTTTTAATGTCGACAAGTGGTAATTTGTTTTATCATACACAGAGTGATTACTTCTACGTTTTCTGTATCAGTTAAAATAGAAGAATGTCAGTCTTCATGGTTTCGATAATTCCACAGACTGAAATATCATTTTTTCCTCTTATAACTGGTACATTGAAATTCACAACACAATACACGTGTTACATTCTATTTAAATGACAGATAGTAAGTGATGTCTACATAAAATTCGTTTTGAAGATGTTACGAGTATTCGGAGTTTAACAACACCTTAACCAGTAACACATTTTAAAATCAAAGTATGCTAATCCGGTGAAATCAGAAGTCAAAAGCGAAGAGGATCGAAGACACTTTATGAAGTGCTATCGATATATCGAGAAGTGACTAATCTGAGTTGTCTAGCGGTTGTAGAAGATGTATAGCACGGTGTAGCCACTCGTGATCTGGTGCGGGTGCGTGACTGAGCACCTTCAACTAGATGAGTCCAGTAAAACTAATGTGGTCAGCATCAAATGTCGAAGACTTGCAGTTCTATTTATTTGTAAATACTGTTAAATGAAGCATTAAAAACTATCATCAACACAATTCATATTTTACTGTCCATTCATTAATAGTGATGTATATTTTGGAATTTTATGTCAGATATTATAAATGATTTTTGTTAGAGAGTTTATTGTAGAACTATGGTGAGTGTGATTTTATGATATTGTCTTCAAAGAAATTGTTTATTGCTGAATAATAAATATCTGTCAATGATTGTTTATTGAATTTATGATTGTATCTATGTAATATATGCTATATTGTAGAGTTATGATATATGCTGTGTAATGATTTCAGAGTTTCATGACCATGTGATATAACTGAGCGTGTGATTGCTGGTGAAAAGTGTATGCTATCACATGTGACGTCTGTCTCGTCCTACAATAGGACTCTTCAGCAGTACTCGTCTACAAACAGGGGTGGGAGTGGGAATCGAACACATGACTTTCTGTCGTCTATATTTCACGGAACTTTGACTTTCACACTCATAAGTTATTCTTTGAAGTAAGTTTAACTTCAGTACTCTATCTCTGAAGTTATGGGTGAATTCAAGATAACGGGGATTCAAACATTCATATACATTTCTTGAAGGGACATTTCAAATATCATTCTGAGTTTGTCCTGTCTTTATCATGAAAACACGTTTTTCGAATACATACGTTTACGTTAATGTACTCTTAAGTGACTTTGTTAAACTGGAAGTGTGGTTTTATTCATTTAATATTTTGACTGAATTAGTTTCGGTTCGAGTTAGTTTAATGAGTATAGTTCAATAGTCATTTCGGATTGACGACATAAAACACGTTGTCACAAACTATGTGTGATTGGTCATTGATTCATATATTGACATGCTCAGATTACCCATAATCTTGAAGCTGAAACAAGCTTTGCAACGTTTTAAATGGCACACTTTGGTACACTTCAGCTATTACTACTGTATGATAAAATACTTGGAAGTGTATCACATGTTTTAACTTATATGTATGATTAATTATCCTACTCGAATAAATTTTGCGTTATGTAGCAGGCAAATAATGGTGACTAGTCAATGTTATTTGTTGTTATTTCAGAACATTGCTTTATGACATTGACGTATGGTGATAAGGAGTGGAATCCAAGGTGATGGTTTCGTCCCAGTTAAGAATCGTCAGCTGGATGATACTTGTCTATTGCAGCCCTCAACATTAATAGGAACATCTAAACAACCAATATATATGTGAATTATCTAATTAATAATTTAAATCATTTGTTAATAGATGATACTTATGAGCGTTTTCAATAATCTTTTTACAGGAAGAATTTCTGCTGGCAACTAAGTGGAACATTCAAATGCTTTTTAGATCGAATGGATCCAGCTATTGGCGGCAAGGGTTACTCATGTATAGGTTAGGATAAAAAACAAAATGCACGATGAATTTGAATTTCTGGTATTATATAATTTTAAAATAATGTAGTCATTGGAATGATTAACTCAGTGAAATGATGAGCAACAGTGGTCAACATAATGTGATTACTCAGATTATTTGAATTCAGTAAAAATAAACCATCGAAATATGTTACCAAGTACAAAATGTACAGTGAGTACACTCACTATACCAGTTAACAAAGCTTAAAGTATCAGGGTTCTTGATCTGAAATTTCAACGACAGTTAACATGAATTTTCTTTAGTGCACATGTAAAACTTGCAATATTTAAGCGAATTTCTTAGAAGTCTAGTAATTTTAAGTGAACGCTAGAATAAGAGATCATTTGAAAACCATGGTAGACAAAGGAGAAGAATTTCATTGTAAGCGATCACTGTTCTCATTCAGTATGTACCTATTTATTATAAACCTACTCCGCATGTAAATTACACGTACCAATGTGATATGAGCTGTCATGATGCTTTTAATTATTCATTTGTAATTCAATGCTGTAGGGTAACAACGAGATGCTTTCTGATGAAAATATGATGAAAATTTTGAAAGACCAGAAATGTGAATGAATAATTTACTGGAAGACATAACTAAACTAACATATGTTTATACCTAATGAAGCGCACTATGCAGCTTGATATGTGTTCTAATTATTATTATTGTCGTATTATACTTAGCTAACACATGTCCAAACAAAGTTTATTCAGGACATTGGAACCAATCAGCCATCATTATATGTCAACTCTGTTTCATTTTAAAACCTTGTCCAGATACAACATTAATATGAAGACATCGATAAAGAATTCGTTTTCAGTGTAGTAAGGTTATGAGATCAGTAGAAATGTTGTAACAGGTCTATGTTGAATTCACCTGAAACAGTTAACTAGAATTGATTTGTCGTATAAGATCTTTGACTATCCAGACTAATTAATCCGATGGTAGCATTAGGAAGTGAATGAAACTAGATCCATTCGATGATATAATGCTTTTATAGTCCATAAGAGCTAAGGAACAATTCACCTTCTCAGTTTAAACTGCATAAAACTCGCATTCTAGCATAGATTATCATGGAAATATAACCAATTCTATTTATGTATCATAGATAATCTTTTGGATTTACAAATAAGTTTCTTGGTTATTTCTTCCTGTTTTTTCAATATTTCTACTACATGAAGGAAAAGGTAAGCATTGATTTGTTTGTCTTATGAATGTGCTGACCAGTGTGTAGTGTCTACATGGTTGTAAACAGTTCTAACAACATTGTAATGCTGTAGTTTGAATCGGCAATTCATATTAAGGACATAACGTTTATTGTTTCGTGATTGCTTTAGAATGGGTCTTATTTCAAGCAAGCAATAAGTAGAGTAAATGATATTAATCAAGAATATTTCGAATGTGGGTTCATATTTCAGGGTAAATATGATTATTTAAATCTGAAGTATACGAATATCATCCCGATAAAACATTGACCTGAAGAAAGCGAACGTGAAAATATTGGGCTCCGACAATACATGAATTCAATATATCCAATATATATTCCCCTCTCTCACTAAAATCTATACCTGACATGTATGAAATAATTTGTGAAGCTGATAGAAACGAAATAGTAACAAGTTATACACCACTAAAATCAAGGTGTGTCAACGCTTGATAGGTAATTGACACTGTCCCTATTACATCATAAGAGATACTGATCTTATTGAATATCGATCAAAAGGATAGAATGATTGTTTGGATGCTTCATCATTGACAAATCGGTGCATTTTATATGAGGTATCTTTTCGTGTTTTATCTAACATCAAGTGATTGGTTCTTTCTATCATTTGAGATGTAACTTGTATAAGAAATTTCTATTCTTAATATTGTTATCTGTTTATTCTATATTAGGAGGTGGTAAGTTCATTGAAATATACTGAAATAAAACTCACTTATTCATTCAGTCTATAGACTAATGAGATATATACAATCAATATAATAAATATCACAAGTGGTCATCATATTGATTACGAGTTTCTTTATATTTAGAAATTCCAGAAGAGGAAATATTTCCTAGGCCATGTGTTTTCAGAAGTGTGAAATAGTCTCTAAGAGAACTGATGTGACGCAACCTCTTTTTTCTCATTTTTCAATCAGAAAATGGTGTTAAGTGGTGAAGTTTCGAAAGATTTTTTCTGGTTGGCGTATTTTAGCGAGTTAGCTTTCTACGGGATGGGGTTGATAACCCCATGCCTAACCCTCCTCCTTTACCCGAGGTTCAAACCAGCAGTAAATCTAGAAGAGCTACAGGCGGAGTTTGAAATTTCGAAAATGAAGATAATTGATAAATTGTTAGATGAATTACTTCTGTCAAATTGAGGATTCTAATCATCGTCTAACAAGTGTGTGATACAATGCTGAGCTACATATTATATATGTCTCACATTCTACATTTTGATGTTTGTGTCATTGATGATTTCATTAGTGGTTTTCAATTTGGAGTAAGTTCAAGTAATATTTATCCAATGACATTAACTGATTTGACAAGGTTTCCAGTTTACACATTCTTCATAATCAAATAGAAGAGATCAGGATGCAATTGAACAGGGTACAATGCTAAGAAGCTTATTAAGTAATTGCTAATACATATTAAACTATACCTACAGAAACACGAAATTATATGTGTTTTATAAAGTAGGAAACGGCCATCCATCTAGATTTAATTGACTCATGATCTCAACTATCAGAATTACTATTATATCCACTAAACCTCTTCTTTTATAAAACTTTGACTGGATTGTGAGATTACGACGATACTGTTACTGGAGTTCTTATTTCTCTTACGGAACGTTTCTGGCTACGTGTGCGTTGATGTATATACTACTTTCAATTGAAATATTCTAACTTCAGTCAACCAAGGATAACAGTGTCATCCCATGACATAGGTTACGCAATAGATAATTGACATAAATATGGAGTGTTAATTTGAGTTTGTGAAGTCATTATTTATAGGTTATTTCAAATAGTGTTTTCAACAAAATGTTCATACACTTCCATGTTATTTGACTTTATGCTCATGCACGATAATCATCATTATGCAATCACTCATTAAAATATACAGAATTAGTGAATGCTATGAACTTATTCTTATTTAAAGAGAATTGATTTTGGGCATCTGGTGAGTTGGACCACAATACATATATATAACTTAAAATTACTTATTGCTGACATACCGTATCACAAACCAAGACTATCACTGTTTAGTATTCGTTTTATTCAAATATCAGCTATACATTGATTTTATAGGCGATTGGTTCATACTTATCTAGGAATTGATCTCTTGTATGAAGTTTGACTAATCGACTTGGAATACGCAGACGACGTAGCTGAGTTTGGTGGAGACGTTGACAAGTTACAAAGTGTTATGATTGCATACAATAATTATCTACTTATGTTTGCTGTGTACTTTGGTTCTTGGTAATACAAAAGATTGTTTCGGGACTGAACTGCATCAACATCTGATCGAATAATTGAGAGCGAAGTATGAGACATGGCCTATGAATGAAGGAGACAGATGTTGACTACAAGACATAAATCATAGGTGAATTCTAACCATTCTTGTATCGCAGAATGATGAAGTGGGGGAGACTCGAAGTTAGGTTTAACACTGATGAAATAATTATTCTTCATCGGCTGAGGTGTTTGAAGCATGCGTAACGTAGTCATAACCATCGTCCACATCGATATCAAGTTAAAAGAAATCTAGGTATTTGCTGAGCAAGGCTAAGTATCAGTTCGTGAGTTTAGTGGCTGATAGTTTGCACAGTTTTGGAATGTGTAAAATACCTACTTAGGATTCGAGCGTTAACCCTCACAATTGATTGATCACCGTGTGGTGTTCAATGTCATGTGTGTCATGTCCTTATTGGTTCAGATCGAATGCTATCGACCATGTTGCGATTTGGCCACCAGTCTAGGTGACTCGACACTGGTAGCATCTCTGACTGTGATGCTGGGTTACACGGGATCGAATCCGTCAGGGTGCACCAGTTCCCTCAAGATTACAGATATACCTTGCTGTCGAGTGTCAAGTATCACAAAACCCGGTCCAGGGTTTCCTGTCGACTACCTCGAACCACCATCTAGCGTTAATCCTGTCAGTAGTTGGAGAGGTTGTATTATTATATGGTTCAGGATCTGTCACAATGTCAAAGATGTATCTACCTTGTGTCTCCCTCCAGTATTCCTTTGTACATCATATTTACTTTGTCTTTTCTAAACAGATTATCAATCTTTAATTTTTCTGTTGTGCTAAGATATATGTTTATTATGATTGATTAACTGATTCGTATTCAATATACATTGAACAAGAAATGTTTTTAATCATCCTATTAATCTTTAGTAAAAATATTTTTGACGATATGAATTTCAATTGAATGAATGCGATCAGTTAATCATTTTATCTTCACTAACTCTTTTCTGTATCTGTTTTCAGGGCCAATTTATGCGAACGCTTGGCTGGTACTTGGAGATGTTTATTGGAAGTACTACCTGAAGATCTAGGAGGTAGAACTACACCATGTTACAGTACGATGAAAAAGTAGCATGAAAATGCAACTCAATAAAAGTTAAAAGAACAAGCTTTCTGATTTATTATCTTAACTGCGTGTTTTGAAAAATGTTAAAGTAAGATATGTGACTTTGCTACATCTCAAACAGATAGTAACAATAAGAAAATACACGACTAGTGAATAGCAGGGCAATCCAAAATGTGTGATTCATTATGTCGGGCTAATCAGATTGATCTGCCTTCATCCTAATATTGATTCTCATGTCAGGACTCGGACCCGGTACCTTTCACTTAAAATACTGAACACGTCATCCACACAACTATATTGTTAACGTTAATTAGTCGGGTAGTCGGACAACCTTTACAAACGAGTCCAACATCGCCCAGTTGTACAAATTGATGGCTAACTGAACTCTGTAGTTCAATGAATAATGTAGTGAGTGTTTGAAAAGTGCCGGGTTCGAGTCATAGTGTGAGCATCAACACCAGGGTATAGCCACTTCTAGCCAACGAGTTTCATGTAGAATGGAACACACATCCTGAATTTTACTGCTAGCCACTATCCACCTTACTTACTTACTTACGCCTGTTACTCCTGTTGGAGCATAGGCCGCCGACCAGCATTCTCCAACCCACTCTGTCCTGGGCCTCCTTTTCTAGTTCTATCCAATTCTTGTTCATTTTTCTCATGTCTATTTCCATTTCCTGACGTGATCTGTTCTTTGGTCTTCCTCTTCTCCTTTGATCTTGAGGATTCCATGTGAGGGATTGCCTTGTGACACAGTTGGGTGCTTTTCTCGACGTGTGTCCTATCCACTTCCAGCGCTTCTTCCTGATTTCTTCCTCCGCTGGGATCTGGTTTGTTCTCTCCCACAGTTGGTTGTTGCTAATAGTTTCCGGCCAACAGATCTGAAGTATTTTGCGTAGACAACTGTTAATAAACACCTGTATTTTCTGGATGATGGGTTTCGTAGTTCTCTAAGCTTCCGCCCCATACAGTAGAACTGTTTTGATATTTGCATTGAAAGTTCCGACTTTGGTGTTGGTTGACAGTTGTGTTGAGTTCCAGATGTTCTTCAGTTGTAAATGTGCTGCTCTTGCTTTGCCAATCCGCGCCTTCACATCTGCATCAGATCCACCATGTTCATCAATGATGCTGCCCAAATATGTAAAGGTATTTACATCTTCCAAATCTTCTCCGTCAATTGTGATTGGATCGGTGCATGCTGTGTTGTATCGGACAACCTTGCTCTTCCCTTTGTGTATATTGAGACCTACTGCTGCTGAGGCTGCTGCTACACTGTTCGTCTTCTCCTGATTTTGTTGTTGCGTTTGGGATAGAATGGCCAGATCATCTGCGAAGTCCAGATCGTCCAACTGCATCCTAGATGTCCATTGTATCCCGTGCTTCCCTTCAGATGTTGACGTCTTCATGATCCAGTCGATCACCAGGAGAAAGAAAGGGTGAGAGTAAGCAACCTTGCCTAACACCGGTCTTCACTTCGAACGACTTTGTCAACTGTCCTCCATGCAAGATTTTGCAGTGTAATCCATCATATGAACTCTGTATGATATTGACTATCTTCTGAGGCACGCCGTAGTGTCGAAGAAGTTTCCATTGTGTTGTTCTGTCCACGCTATCAAATGCCTTTTTGTGTTCAGTGAAGTTGATGTAGAGTGATGAATTCCATTCAATTGATTGTTCCACAATGATCCGTAGAGTTGCGACTTGGTCTGTACACGATCTATCCTTACGGAATCCTGCCTGTTGGTCACGAAGTTGGGCGTCTACACAGTCCTTCATCCCGGTTAACAATACCCTGTTGAAGACTTTTCCTGGTATTGAGAGAAGAGTGATGCCCTTGTAGTTATCACAGTTGCTGAGATCGCCTTTCTTTAGTATTTTGATCAGGAGTCCTTCTTTCCAGTCTTTTGGTACTTGTTGCTCATCCTTAATCTTATTGAAGAGAATGTGGAGTATCCTTGCTGTTGCCGCTACGTCTGCTTTTAGTGACTCTGCTGGAATGTTGTCTGGTCCTGCTGCTTTACCACTCTTGATTTGTCTGATGTCAATGTGTGGTGTTTGAATTGACTAATGATACTTTTGTACATGTTGATTGCACGATTTCGAATTCCAAATACAGTACATTCGTTTGTGCCTGTCTTCTTAATTCAATTGCGTTATTTCTGGGATTCTTAGTTAGTGCTATAATTCCAATAAGTAGAAACATTATACTGGCGTCGTGATGGAACCTGCAATGGAAAAGTTGGACATTCATTCAACTTCTGAAGCTTTTGAGGATTATTTCGAAAGGTTCGAAATCTGGGTCATGACCAAGGAAGATGATGAAGATATTAATATTTTTGCATATTTCCTCACATTCATCGGTAAAGAAGCATACAGTTTATTAAGAACGCTGGATATGCCGGAAAAACCCATTTCGCTTCCTTATACAACTCTCAAGGCATTACTACTAGACCATGCCAGGTATGCAAATTTTGATTGCAGTAAAGAAGGGGAATTTCCTAAAATGATTCATCAGGACATTAAAAGTTCTACTACATCACGTTATCCTAATCCAGTGCATATTCAAGGTTATGCAAATAATTCATTGCGGAGTTGCAGTGCGTTTCACGAAGATGGGCACAAGTTTGGTCAGTGTTTGTCCTGTGGCAAGTTCCATGCTTTTAATTCATGTAAATTTCGTAATTCTAAATGCTTTAAATGTGATGATATTGGATATATTCAGTCAGTCTGCAATACTAATGTTCATGTTATTGCAACTAATATTAAGTCTTGTAATTCTGATTCTACTGAGTCGAGTATTTATAATTATGATTTATCTTTATCAACTACTGCAATAGACAGTGAAGAGTCAAAAAGCAGTTCAGAGTTAAATGAAATCCAGAATTCTAGTGAGACAACAGTTCCTAATCAACCGATTTATCAGAATTCTCATGCTATTGTACCAGGTATGACTTTTCCTAATGATTCACATATTTCTGATGAAATTTCTTACAAATCTGAGGAAAATATGTTAAATGAACCTATTCATTATCAAAAACCTGAGGCAGTCATGATAGATGCTAATTTTTCTAATGATCCATTGCTCTGCAATGACATTCTTAGTCAATTTCATGAAAATATTTCAGTAGAATCAAATCCTGATGTCATATGTATTACCTATCCTCATAATGCATTTGCTCCTTGTGAAAAACTTGTTCAATGCAAAGCACGAATACTAAATGAGCTCGGTTTTGATTACAATTCTGATGATTTCATATCAACTGTTGTTCATCCTTATCACAAAAACACTTCTAATGTTTACTCTAATCAATGTGAGAAATATGTTTTAAATGAAGCCACATTATTCATAACTTGGGAATATAAAGACCCAACATTATTTCGTGGGGGGGGATAGCGTTGAAAAATCTATGATTCCAATTTGAGATATGAATCATTTCAGTACAAAACCGATATGTTGATTGTATACAATTCCAGATACTAAAAAGTTTTCATCCAGTACAATGTCGGACAGACTCAGGATGAACTTAACAAGAAAACATACAACCGATTGCAAACACTTATACTTCTATTTAAGCTGTGGCGGATGTGGTGTTTGAATTGACTAATGATACTTTTGTACATGTTGATTGCACGATTTCGAATTCCAAATACAGTACATTCGTTTGTGCCTGTCTTCTTAATTCAATTGCGTTATTTCTGGGATTCTTAGTTAGTGCTATAATTCCAATAAGTAGAAACATTATACAATGCTGATCTCTTCAATTGTTGGTGTTCCAACATTGATTGGGAGGTCCGCGGATGCTGCTTCAATGTTCGATGGGTTCAGTGAGGTTGGTCGATTCAAGAGTTCTTTGAAGTGTTCTACCCACCTGTTTTGTTGCTCTTCAATGTTGGTGATTACCTTGCCTTCCTTGCTTTTCACTGGTCGTTCTGGCTTGCGGCGATTTCCAGAGAGTTTCTTTGTTATGTCATACAGTTGTCTCATGTTTCCTTCTCTTGCAGACTTTTCCGCCATCATTGCTAGATCTTTCACATATTTACGTTTGTCGGTTCTGATACTCCTCTTCACTTGTTTGTTTACTTCTGTGTATTCAGCTTGTGCCTTGGCTTTTTCTGCTATTTTTAGACTGGTATTGATTGCTGCCTTCTTGTTTATCCTTTGTTGAATCTTATCCAGTGTATCAACAGTGATCCATTCCTTGTGATGGTGCTTCTTGTGACCCAGGACCTCATGACATGTTGAAGTGGTTGCCTCTTTGAACCTCTTCCAGTTGCTCTCCACAGTAGTTCCTTCTCCATTGAGTAGATCATGAATGGCCTGGAACTTGTTGCTGAGGGCTATCTTGAATATGTTGAGTTTGTTAGTATCCTGAAGAAAGGCCGGATTGAACTTTTGTGGTATTGTCCGCCCCATTGTCCAGTGCTTCTTGAGTTTCAATTTCATCTTGGCGACCAGCAAGTGGTGATCTGATGCTATATCGGCTCCTCTCTTGGTTCTCACATCCTCCATCATCTTCCTGAACGTTTTGTTGATGCAAATATGGTCGATTTGGTTTTACGTGGTGTGATCCGGTGAAGTCCATGTGGTTTTGTGAATGCGTTTGTGTGGGAATATGGTGCCGCCTATGACCACTTTATTGAAGGCACATAGGTTTGCGAATCTCTCACCATTTTCGTTCCTTTCTCCCAGTCCATGTTGTTCCATAATGTCTTCATATCCGGTGTTGTCCATTTCAACCTTGTAATTTGAATCTCCAATCAGAGTGGTCAGGTCCTTTGTTGAGCACTTCTCGACGATTGACTGCGGCTTGTCTTAGAATTGATCTTTAACGTTTTCATTGTAGTCGTTAGTCGGCGCATAGCATTGGATGATGTTCATTGAAATGCCCTCTTTCTTTGTTTTGAAGGAGGCTTTGATGATCCTTGGTCCATGAGATTCTCATCCTATCAGTGCATTTTGTGCTTGTTTGGACAGCATCAATGCAACTCCTTGTGTATGTGGGGCATTTTCTTCTTCACGGCCGGAGTATAACAGAAGCT